CTTTTCCATAATTATAATAAACTGGTTTGGTATGGTGATAGCCTTGTGTACTCTGTTGGCCTATTGCACTATGGTCATTTTTTAACAGACATAGGGGAGCACTTTTTGCATATAAATTATACACAAAATATCTATACTAGAAGCATGTCATTAAGGTTGGAAGAGGCAAGCAATTGAAAGACAGAAAATGTCCAAATTAGGATTTTTGGACCGCTGTGCTGCTAATCCCCATGACTGAATCGCACATCTAATGATATTTGATGTTTTTTTTTCTTAAAGACCCTCCCTCAGAGCCATGTTGTTTTATGCAAAGCTTACCTTTCACTTAAAATGAATAAGTTTCTGGCTCTAATAGTTATGACAAAAAACTTGATCATGGGATTCAAACCAGTGGGCAAATTAGAGTTCAAAGTTTTACTATTTGTTAAATATCCCATGGTTTTTAAGCCATTTTCATGACTAACTCATTATTTCTCAATGTTTGGAGCTGGTGCTGCTGCCTGTGCACCCTTAACTCTGCCCCTTGCGTATGTCTATGTTGTGATGCAGTCATTAATATTTGTCCTAGGGACGAGTTAATATTTGTCCTAGGGACTGCTGCTTCATTTGGTGCACAGGATAAAGCCAATAAAAGGGAACCTTTTAATTCTTTCCTGCCTGGATGTATAAGTGAAACAGATCTTGCTGTAGCTGTGGCAGTTAAATAAAAGTGATCTACCTCCAGTAGCTGGCTGACTCTACCAACAGATAGTATAGAGCAGTTTAAATCTCCAAACTTGCAATGAGCTCCCAGGCAGAGCCATTCTGATGGCATTAGGATGCTATGCGGGCTTGGCTTCATCAATGCACATCTCCTTGTCAACTCACAACATAGACAAGAAGTGAAAAAACACACTGTGCCTTTTTGACGTGATGGGAGGGAATTAGGTAGTCAGAATGTGACTTACAGAGCTAAAATGTGACCGACCAGGACAACTAGTGCTACTTCTCTTGTTTTTGTGAGCAGGGTTAAATAGATGCTCACGAACACAAGGGATCAGGCTTTAGGTTTTGTGTGTCAGTCATAAACTGTGACAATTCTTTTAATTTAAGTGTGTCACTAAAATTCATCTGTTTTACATAAACAGACTTCTGTGAAACTATTGTCATATTATCATAATATTCCATTTTTTAAAGTTGTCAATGGAAAATGGCGTACATGTGTGTGTGTTCAGTGTTTTACATGGCAAACTGCTTAACCTACAATGAATTGCTTTACTCAGCAGTTGGGATTTGACAAAATCAGAAATTAAAAAAAAAATAATTCTGTAAGGAGCAAAAATCTGGAATATTCTGGAAATAAAAGGTCTGTACCATTACCAAACAGAAAATCATTTTAAAATTTCTGTGGCCATTCCATCCCCACATGTCTCAAACAATCTTCAATCTGAGGAAGTGTCATCTGTTAGCAGTGAGGAGGAAGAAGGGCTGAGTTCACTGATGAAACATTTTTGAGATGAAATATTTGCCCAGTGGTGCACATTCTCTCTCTGTGTCTCTCTCTCCCCCTCCCCTTTCTTCCCTTATGTTTATCCATGTGTGTCCAATACACATCAGTGTTAAAAGGGAAGAGAGAATGACTCGCACAAAGCTCAGATTGTCCCCGTTCTTCTCCAAGAAGAGATGCTTCTTCATCCCATTTGGCACCCAAGTGAGCAGCTCTGTGTTTCACAATCAGTCTGGTAGAGAGAACAAGAATATCCCCCTCTTCCTCCTTTCTCTATTAATATTGCTGCCAATGACAACATACAAACTTCCTGAGCCAAAGCCCACTGGTGTTTGTGGGAGCGCTTCTATTTCCTTGTGGGTGGGAGAGGAGTGTGGATTAGTCTCAAAACCTGAAGGTGGATCTATTAGATTTCAGATATAATGTCTTTCCACTGTGTATAGAATACGCAGGCTAAAGGTAGTACACAATTATTTGGCTCAGGGTTAGGAGGAGAATATATTCCCATCAGCCCCCAAGTGTGTGTGGCTGTAACAACATACGTCAGCTGTTTCAGCAACACAGTGTTTCTAATTCACCCCTTTTCTAATATGCACGTACATATAATGTGAGTTTCCTAAACAGATTAATCTGCATTTCCTCCATATGGTTTCTAGACTTTTTAAAAATCTGGTACAATCTGCCAAGTGGTGAAGGCAATCAGGTTCTTTTATTTTTTTTTGGATAGAACAAGTCAACCACTATGTTGTCTTATAAAAATGTGTCAATGTGTCTGCTCATTGGAAGCATTTAACAGCTTAGTCTAAGGAAGCTGGAAGAGCTTCTAGCATTGTATCAACAAGTTGTAATTTATCTTGGTCTCTGGATGTTAGAGTAATGATCTGCTCTGTAGTAATGTTAGGAATAAAAGCTTTTGCCATCCACTGCAGGGGAAACTAGATTTTGGATTCTGTATTAATTTGCATACCTTAAATGTATATGGAAAAGAACTGGTTTTTGCTCAAGATGGCCACTATGCTTTATAAATCTCTGAAAGTAGATAAGGTCCTTCAAGCAGAAGCTAATCAAAGGGATTCTTTCCTATGATTTTTCTCTGTAAAAGTGTTTTGAAGACAATATCTAGAAAGAGGGTAAGTTGGATCATACCTAAGCTATCTTAAATAGCCTGACTGGAGCTAGTTGAAAAGAAGTGGGGAAAATAACAGAACAGACTGTGGAGAAGAAGCTACTCTAGAGAAGAAGTAGGCTTAGATATAATATCCTTGTGAGTACTAAGAGTGGTAAGGAACAGGAGGGGAAACATGCAGAGGGACATGGTTGTTTGTATTTTTCCCTTGCCTTTCCCTCATGCATTGGGGCACAGGCCTCAGTTAAGGCTGCCAGTGTTTTAATGGGATACTCTGTTTCTTCTACTACTAGAAACTAGGGCTGTGTGAAGCTTCGGTCCCTAATTCAATTCGGCCCGATTCGGTGGTCGAATCTCCGAATTGAATCAGAGAACCCTTTAATCTCTCCAGATCAAATTGGAACCTTCTGAATTGATTCAGAGAGATTCAGAAAGATTCGGCGATTTGGACATAGCCATGGCTTTAAATGTTTTTTCTACATACCTCTACGTACCAGGAGCTCGTGAACACTGCAATGGTGGGATGCCCCCCATCCACATTCCTGTGGGATGCTCCATGCACCCCGGCATCACGGCATTCACGAGCCACACTGGTATCTTGAGGTATGTAGAAAAAACTTTTAAAGCTGTGTCTGTGTCTGAATCGCTGATTGTCTGAATCGGCATCGAATCTTCAGATTCGAATTTGGCTGAATCGAATCAGGGACGGCGATCCAAATCAACGAATCCAATCATTGTCCCTGATTTGGGCCAAATCCAAATCCAAATCAAATAGGGCCCACTTTGCACACCCCTACTAGAAACCCAGACTTAGAGGGTGTTGTTCATCCACTCAGGTCCATACCATTTGCCAGAATCGGGGTCGAGAAGGAATTTTTTCACTGTGACAGATTGGCATAGTCAGGGGGGTTTTGCCTTTCTCAGTAACATGGAACAAGGTTCTTTTCCAATGATTGTCTGAGTATACACTAAGTAACTACTTTTTTGTTATTGCTGTGGCAGAGTATCAACAGGGTTGTGGCATGCTATTAGGTTTTCTTAGTATTTTGGATTTTCTTCTTTGTAGTTGTGGGTGAGAGCTGGAAGTGGTTATTTTGGGGATTCTTGCATAAACAGTTATCCTCAAACAGAGAGACTTAAGAGCATAAGAACTGCCATTAAGTGGGTCAGATCACAGGTCTATCTTGCCCAACATCCTGTGTCACACCGTGTCAAAGAGTGGATGCTGAAAAGGAGAGTGAGCAGGGTATGACCAGGGTTTTCTCCACTGTTCCTCTCCCACTTGCAGCTTCTGGCATATAAGGTCCAGGAAATTCTGATTCAGAGGCTGTATCCTAACTTCTATGCTCAATAGTTACTGATGCATCTTTCCTCCAAAAAATTGTCCAATCCCTTTTTTGAATCTGGACTGTTGCCTGGTGGGCCAAGAGGCCATCCCCAATCCAATGTTTCTTTTTTTTTTTTTTTTTTAAGTGACCTGAATTCTGCAAACTATTTGCAATGAAAATCTGTTCTCTGTCTCTCATGTTCCTTAAGGATATTTGTAGAATAGAATGACGAGTGATTTTAGCATTTTCACAGTCAGTCTGGTCAACCTCCCCTTCCTCCTCCTCTTCCTGTTTAAGTGGACCTGGGGTTGCCACAGACTGCTCACAAGTGCTATAAGAGTGATTTAACATCAAAAGGGTAATCTTTATGTGAGAAGTGAGGGACTTTCAATATAAAATAGCCCTTACATATGTGCACACAGAGCATGAAACCAAACACTAGCTAACAGATGCAAGAAAGGAAGGCACTGTACTGTAACTGAAATTTTGGTTTTCAGTCTTTTTTTGCTTTTAAAAATGAATCTGTCTTCCTTCTGGCCAACCATGGTATACAGAACATATGTGAAAGGATTTAATTGATTTAGCCTATAACTAGAGCAGGTTTGGTTTGTAAAACCAAGCTCAGCTATTTATGCCTTTTCTCTTTGGAGAAGTCAGAAGATATACACTCCATTACCTGTTTACATGTGCTAAATCAAAGGGTCCTACATTCAATATTTTGTTTTTTTAATTTTGGTTGAACAGGAAGCTGAAAATCCAAATTAATGGCTTTTCCCCTAGGACATAAATTCTGAAAGGCCTTTGTAACTTGTGTTCCATGTTAAAATGGTCAAGGTAGATTGACAGTCATTGTCCTCTCCTGCCCTACAGTATATGGTGCAGCAGCAAGGGGACCAGCAAATGTGTGCAGAACTTGTGTTTCACTAAGCATTTTAGCTGCTGTTGTTGTTATAACTTTGAAGTAGAGTTGTTAAGGAATTATTTTTAAACAGCAGTTCATATTTTTTCTCTCTCCTCTCTCTGTTTCTGTTCTTGCTGGCAGCCAAGATAATATATCAGATTCACTACAGTTGATTAGGGAGGTGAAAACTTATCTCTGTTTTACACCTTATGCCGGCAAAGACCTTTGCACTGGAGCAGAGTTTCACTGCTGAAGAAGACATGTTGTGATGCTTCCAGGTTTGTCCTGTTTATAAACTGGAGACTCTTCACTTGCAACAGGACTCCACACTGATATGTTGATGCAATCCCCTCATGTGGTCTCTGAGTGAATGCAGGTTCTAGCCCCCCAGTTATTTCCCTCTGTCTCTTTTTTCCTTTCCCCATATCCACCACTGCAATGACCCTTTGAACCCTACAGCCAGAAAAGCAGCTACAGACTCTTTCAGGTAAACAGCAGTTTGTCACAACCTTCAATAATTACCTTCAATAATTCACACAAGGCTGATGTACTTACAAGTAATGCAGACAAGACACACTTGGGCCACTAAACCTTCATGCATTGCCAGACCATCATGTATTCCCTAGTTATTATTTCCTAAGTACCTAATATGCTCAGTGCTGTTGGAGAAGTCAAATGTAAAGACAACCCTTGCCCTAAGGGACTGACAATCTAAAAGACAGATGCAGATAAGACAAGACACTGAGGGATCCATAGGAAGCTGTTAACTTATTATTTTTTTCTTTTAATCACAGTCTCTATCCTCTTATATGATGTTGGGGTGGAGAATGGATTTGTCTCATGTGGGCTAGTATTTGCAGGCCTCACGGGAGTTGCTAAGTGATAAGCATTCCAACTTTGGTTATTAGGATGTTTCCTGTAACATCTAAATTCAGTTCCCTCCAACTTGATCAATGCACAGTGGCTTAATTGAGCTTTAAACATCCTGTCAAGCAAGCCCTGAGGAAGGTGAGACTGGAAACATGAGGTATAGTACTTGTGCATATAGTAAATTAAAAAATGATCGCAACTGGTTTGAAAATCTTTTGTTTTTGGAAATTTTTTTTTTTTTTTTATTGAGCAGAAAATGTGTTCCACCATTTCCCTAAGTGGAAAATAAAATTAGTTTCATATGGACATAGACAAAACCTAGGGGGCAGGACAGTGGGGCATTGCATGACTTCATTAGCCACACCATACATTTTTATAGATAGAAGGAAGGAAAAGAAGATTAGGATGCTTTTAGTCTAGTTTGGCCTTATCCCTAATTTTAATAAGAGGAGATTATAAAGTTTACTTCATTATAAAAATTATAAAGAGATTATAAAGTTTAATTCCTTCTGGTTAATGAAGAGAGAGATCAGATTAGCTTGAACTTTGAAGTCTGAATCTCAATTCATATTTAAATTGTCAAATGGCTAATATGAAGGGCCAAAGTCAGCCTACAGTTTTGCAGGGCCAAACTAAGCTTACAGTTTTGGTAACTCCTGAATATGAGTGAGTTCAGAACCACAATCTAAATCAATATATTGTGCTTGAACTTCTCTACTTAATGTATCATCGTAGTAGTAGTTTCCATTTTCCTTTTAAAAGGGAGCAGGTCATTCATATGAAAGAAAATAACAAAAGGACCTGAGCCTACCTCTTTTTTCATACTTTCAGTGGCTGGGTGAGCTATTTAGTAGCTATTTTCTCTCCTTGAGCCATTAGTTTCTTTGAATAAGCATCTAGTTCCTTTCAATAAACACTATAAATTTGATGTTAAAGTGGCTACTAGTAACTAAAGTGACAACTACTCAACTGCTAACAACAAAAGGAAGCTTGTTCAACTTGAAGATGTAACATCATTCTCATAGCTGTGTTTCCAGCTCTAGGTGAGCAGAATGCCATATTTTCTAGGCAGAAACAGGTAGTCAACTAGGGTGTTTATTCATTCAAGGTCAGCCTTTTGTATTATGAAACTTCTAGCAGATGTGATAAGCACTAAATTGCAGATCTATCACTTTTTTTTTCCAGTGAGCGTGTGTGTGAAATCAGCAGAATACTGCCTGTATTTGATTTATAGCCCACTTTTGACCAACTCTTATCAGGTTCCCACAAGCCCTTTTCTGATGCAGCTCATGTCTGAATGACAATAGACAACTAGTGCCATTATGCTCCAAAATCCCTCTCTGCATTCTAGACACCTAAGATTACATCTGGGCTATTGATTTATTACTGCCTTTTTTTTTTCCACAGGGACCAGTTTGTTCAGGCTGAACAAGATAGACTATTATTAAACTGAGCAAACAACTCCATGTGAACTTGGTAAAGAAATAATCCTTTGCAACCACCTTACTAATAACCTGGACACACAAAGAAATGTAGGTGTTGAAATATTAAGACTATTTGCATGTGTCCCACCATTTGTGTTTGTTTAGATTACATTTGAAATGAGATCCAACAGCATTTTGTTGTGTTGGGCATTATATGCTTCTTGTCTAGAGCATTTCAGCATTAGAACCCAGTGACTGCATATGGTTTTGAACCAAAGCTGAAATTATTGCAAATCTGCATTACAGTATGTAGTTCTGTAACACCTACAGTATCTTTAGCAGGGCGATTTTATGACACCTTTTAGAATCTCAGAAAAATTTATACGTTCTACCACAAGATTTTTTTTTCTTTTGGGGGGCAAGGAAGCTATAAATTTTACAGCATGTCAGATTTTTTATATGTCCTAAAAATGTACTGTGCAAGATTCCCATTAAATATCCCTCAGCTATAGTTATCTCCATATTTTAAGTTTCTAAGTGAAGAGAAATGGAGGGCTTCTGGTTAAATGATTGTCTTTTCATCCCTTCCTCTTCTGGTTCAGGGCAGTGTTCTCACAGCTGTGGCTAGTTTGTAGTGACCAGTGCTGTGACTGCTATGTAGAGGTGCTAAGCACCAGTGACTCTGGTGGAAGTCAGTAGGAAAAAACAGGTATCTAGCACTTCTACAAAAAACATCCAGTGTGCAGCATCTCATATAAGACACCCAGAAATAGACTCATTCTAAACTGGACCACTTCTGAAAATGCTGATTGTAATGTTGCCTGTCCCAGTGCTCTGTGACCAGCATTTTGGAGGAAGAGTTGAAATGTTCATAAATTCTTCAGTAGCCTACAGTTGAGTTGCTTAACTCTGGCCTGGCTGAATTTGGATTATGCCCTGCCTCATATGGTTTATGTTATTCCATTTTACATAATATCTTTGATTGAGACCTCCTAGATACTTTGCCTTATTAATGTATTCCAGTAAGGAGGAACACAGGTTGATTTATATATTGTACAAAAAAGTAGTTCCTTTTTATTAGTTTAAATCATTCCCATTTAATGTCATTGGGTATTCTTGTGTTCTTGTGTTATATGAAAAATGTATATAGGCTGAAGTTCTGCTCCCACGGGTAGCAGCAAGAATAACCAATTGACTTCTTTTTATATCATCCATTGCCCAATATAGCTCCATCGTGACCCCATTTATTAGTATTCTCTCTAAAACAGGTCCTTAGATTCAAATATATTTTCAAATCATGACTTTTCCATGACTCCTAATAATACATGACTTTCCTCACTGGGTTATTCTGTTTCTTCTGTACCTTTCTATGGCTTGATCCTATAAGAATTGAGCACTCCCATCCTTACCCAGTAGAACACTTTATCATACTGTTAACAGCAGTTTGAAACTTAAACAAATGTTTGCAAATGCTTTTGAATTCTGACCAGTTTTGTGGTCAGTGGGGGGCAACCTTTTTGGCAGACATGCCACAAAGCCCTGCACCCTCCCCAAGTGCCGCTCTGATCCTCTTTCTATGCCTGATCTCCTGTTCTGCCTTCTGACTCCTGCCCTCTACGCTTAACTGATGGTACCTGGAAACTACCTGCTCTGGCCATTTCTTAGAAAGTCTGAACACCTGCACTTTGAAAATCAGGTCCTTTTCACTTGTGTCAAGTTGGGCATTGGAAATTTGGAAAATGAAAAAGAGTGGGTTCTTACTGTTCAAATGAGAATCCATGCCACACTACAGCTGCAGTCAAAAAAGAGCCCCCGCAATGTTAGGACATGTGAAATATAATTGAGAATAACATAAAAAGTATATAAATTAGTGGTGCGTACACACATGTGGAATACTAGTAACTCCAACTCAGCCAAGTGCATTGCATAAATAAAAGGGCTTTGGAGAAGGATGAAAAGAATGATTAGAGGCATGGAAATATTCTGAAGTTGAAAAGAATGAAATTGTTTTTTTCAGAAAAAGGTAAGATCTGATAGAGATGCACAAAATTAGTGTGTGGTATGGGGAAGGGTGATCAGAAGGATCTATTCTCTCTGTTTCATAGCACAAGAATAGAAGGACATTCAGTAAACAGACTTGATGAGGGGAATGTTTGATATAGAAGTCATTTCTCCAGAATGGCAATTGAAGAACTCATCAAAATTCAAACAGGGCTATCCAAAGTCAATGCTAAAAATAGACTGTTATAGAAAGGCTACAAAAAGGGGGCGTAACATAAACCTAAAATGTAAACTTATAACTGTTCAGATGGGGGTAAATTAGCTAATTTCTTGCTTACTGTAGGGTTTCTTGTACCTTCCTCTCAAGCATCTTATTGAAGACAGGATTCTGGATTAGAGAAACCATTGGTCTGTTTGATATTGATATTCCCGCATTTCTACATGTGAAACTTACTTCTTAGCTTCTTACAAGGCTCGGTTTTTATCAACAACAGGTATATAAAAGAACAGGCAGAATTCTGGGGAGATATTTTTTCTTTTAAAAAATATCTTTCCTGGAATGATGAGCTGATTATTTTCCTAAGTGAATGGGAGGATACATTGCAGAAAGATACTTGGAAGTCTCCTTGCTATTACATGGGGCTCTGAGGTTTTTAGAGAATTCTAAAGCCAATTTTATAATAGCCCCACATTTTTCCCATTGGGAGGCTGCAGGAAACAGCCTGAAAGACAGCTGGTGTAGTGAGAGGAGGCGGGAACTTACCTAAAGAAATATTTCAACAAGGGTATTCATGATGTAAATGCAATAACTACCATTGCTTGGTTTTGTGGGTTTGTTCATTTTTTAATGACTTTTCATGAATGTTTTAGGGCAATTGTATGGTTTTGGGGCAGTCTGTCCATATCCTTTCAGTGTGATTTGAGGGTGGACAGGATTTAAGAAACATACACAGACCAAAAGTGGCTAATTCCCTAGGAAGCCCATGCTCACATATGTGACAGTCATGAGTTGTTTGAAGTGTGGTGCGTCTTAATGTTTCAATCTGTGCTTTGTTTGTCATTTCATTTCCTTCTTGGAGCCAGCATTGCTAGACAAAGTAGAGATAGGGGCCCACTTGCTGGATACTATATGCTTAAAGCTTTTTTAAGTTTCATGGAGGACCTTTCTTTTACATGGAACTTCATTGCTCATTAATTGCAGTTGACTTGAAATCTTCATTTATCTGTCTAAAGGCATTTCCTAATTTAGTTGTTTCCTCTCCCTTCCCCCCCACCCCTCCCCTCCGTGGAAGAAACCTGGATTCTTCCTTTAGCTTCTGGTATATTCCTAGCGTAGACTAGAGAACAAGCATTGTATAACGTGACTTTAAATAAAGGTCATAAATAGTCATATTTGGAAATGAATTCAAATAAGAAATGAAAGTGCCAGAGTCCTCCTTCTACAAGGCATGTTAATAATGTCACTTGTTTAGAGACTGCAAGGTCATAGCCAGAGGACTTCTTCAAGTGTTGGCTCTTCCTCCTAGTATCTGCCTTAGGGTTTCCCTAACTGAGGGAAAAGAGAGCCCAAAGGTCAGCAAGAGTCTGCTGGGCCATCACTGCCTGAAGGTAACTATTCATCTCTTTGATGTTTGGCTAACTCTTTGAAAGATTGATGCTGTTAGTATTTTTGGTGCTTAAAAATACATAGAGCTAACTCTGCTCTTGAAGTTACAACAGGGATGAGCTGGGATATGCTGACCTCCTCTAGTAACAACTAGCTTATATCAGGAACTTAGAGTGTCTTGTAAGGGCAGAATATAGAGACACCAGCAAAGGATAACTTTTCTTCTTCCCCGTTGAGCATGTATAGAAGGAAACTGCTATGAGTAGGAGTTTCTTTACATCCAAAATTGCCTTTTTTGATGATAATTTTGTAGTATGCCTGTAATATCAAGGTATATGCTCTTCACAGGAAACACATTTGCGTGTTCCTATAAGACATGCACAAATGTGGTGAAAAGACCGTTAAGATACAAACATCAAAACTGTAAATAAGGAATTGTATTTCTTAGCACTTTCTTCTAACATCCAGAGGAGCCATACAAAATATTTTGTTCAGGAGAAACAATACAATTTGTTTATATCACAAATATGGATTATGTAATCAGGAACCATTCAGTCTTTAGTTCCTTTAAATCATACTAAATTCCTTTAAATCATCACATTTTTAAAGGCTTTTAAAATATTTGTCTCTAGAATCACTTTTGTGGGCTTCATGCACAGAACAAGCTTCCACCCTGACTCTAACCACTGTGTAAGCAGAGGGTGTCTTATAGAGAAATTCAGTCATACCCCTTGGTAAAGAGCCTATATTTCCCACTTACACTGAATAAGAGCGGTGGCTATTCACATGTTTTGTCAAGGTCCCCTGGGTGCAGCTACAGATAGTAGGTAGCATTTGTGCTTCATTTTGTATGCTTGTCAACAGCCCCTTGTGTCAGATTCTTTTTAATGTGAGTTGTCCTCAAGAAAGTAATGAAAAGGAGTGAATGTAGCTTTAGCTGCCATAAAGTGTTACATTCACTTTAGTATAAATCATCATTCTGAAGTTCATTAACCTTAATACAGTTTAGTCTTTATGTGTCATCGGTTGAGCCCAAGCCTGCTGGATGAGTCATTTACTATACATTGAATTTGTGGAGGCAAGCTAACTTTTGCATATAATGAGCATTAGCTGTTCATACCTTGCTACTTTTATCTTCCTTTCAATGAATCTATATATTGTATTTGTTGAAAGAAGTAGGTGTTACAAGAGAAGCAGGGCTGTGGCAGTCAAAAGATGTAGGAGAAGTTATGAATCTGGAGATACTGAATGTAAATTTGATATCAGGGATTCTGCTAAAGGATTTATTGAAGAATAGGCCTGGTGCTCTTCTCCTTTCCACCAGCATAAATCAAGAAGCAGTCTGCTAAAGCTAAGAGATAAATATAAAATGTGTAAGAGAACTCAGAATCAAACCCAAGTCTGTCTGTCAGCCCCAGAATCAAGCCCACTACCATCTGTTTAGTGTTTGATAACTGCTTTTTATTCAGAATAATTCTTAACCATTAAAACTGATTGGTTTAGGATTACACGAAAAGCTGGGCCAAACCAACTTTCTGGGGTTTTTTTGTGTGGTCTTAAGAATAGGTTATGATCATCCCTATCTAGAAAAGTGTTATCTGCCTTGATGATGGAGTTGGACCAGGTGACATTCTAAGGTACCTTCCAGCCCACCCACCTTTCTGTACTTTTATGACTTTATAGTCCCAGGCATTGCAGCAGTTTAGCATTGGATCAACAGTTAGATTGGTATCTGTCTTATCATATGACTGTAATGCTATGATTTAGTGTATCCTGTGTATAGCCTAGTTGGCATGTTCAGTATTTCTCATTCTTGTGCCTTTAGAGTTTCAGCCAATTGTAGAGCCATGCGAATGGAAAGAATCATAAAAGTGAACCGAAACCGGAGGTATTTTTTTTTTTTTTTCAGGAGTATACCTGAAGTGGGGCGGAAACTGGGAAATGGACAGCACACACCAAGAAGGATCATCTAAGTATGGCAAATATGTTTTCATAGTGCTTACAACTTACTCCTTTATGACCAATTCCACGAGGTGGTGGGTGTCAGGTCCCCCTCCTTGTACTGTTCAGCTTTGGACTGTCACAGTAGGGATCAGTCCTGAGAGTCTAAACTACTGCTGCATCTGCATGCTGATGATACCCAAGTATATGTATATTTGACTGCTCTTCATCTGACCCTAGAGACAACAGTCTCCAAACTCATGTGGTATCTGGTAGAATTGGTATCTGGATGAAAACCAACTGGCAACATCTCAACATGTACAAGAGAGAGGTGGCCCTGATTGGCAAAAGAGGTGCTTGGAAAAAATCAATGAAATCTGCATATAATCGAGGCGTTGGAGACGTGTGATCAATCATCATCAAACATGGCGCACAGTTTCAGTGTTTTAATAGATTGATCACTGTTCATGTGCTTCCAACACTTCCTAAAATTACAACCCTTGATCTCAACTCAGATGGACATTTTTCCTTTTCAGGGTGGGGCTTATTTCAGTCATCCATACTTTTGTGACCACTTAGACTGACTTGCAGCTAACTGCAAAAGTTAATCATAAAAGCCACCTGGAAACTCCATCTGGGAAAAATACAGCTGCCCATCTTCTCAGCTGTGTAAACTGACAAGAGCATCATATTTTTGTACTCCACTTTCACTGACTGCCAGTTAACCACTGAATGAAATTCATGGTGGGATACTGGACTCTATCTACAGTACAGATTTGGTCTAAGCATAGGTTGTCTTAAAGAGTATCTTATTCTTGTACTCCACTTGCACTGACTGCCAGTTAACCACTGAATGAAATGGCTTTTTCCTATTTGTAGCCTGGCATATCATTAGTATTCACTAGGAATGTTCAAATTCTTAGTTCAAGGTTCACAACTCTGAACATTTCTATGATGATATGTATGCTTAACTGTGTTTAGGGACAACTGTAAGAAATCTCTCTTCATCTTTACTTTTACCAAATTCCATTAATTTCTGTCATAGTTGGGGGATCTAAATATATGTCTTAGAATGTACCAGAGTTCTCAGTACCACTTTGGAAACAAAATGCTACAGTCTTTTAAAATGTCCCAGGTAAGGTGTATGTGAATTTGAATGACTGAATCTGTACTGCTCTTTGCCATAGTAATGGAGCCTGAGGGAGCTTATTTACTTATTATCACTATAACCTTTGTATTTCAGTAGTGTATAAAAGCCACCAATCAAATATCCAGGTCACATTGTGCATGATACGGTATGCACATATGACCAAAATACGGTCCCCTTCTTGAAGAGCCTGCCATCAAGACATAGGATGAAAATTAGCAGGTTGATTCAACAGAGTTTGCGGATCCCAAGGTAATAGCGAGAGTGTTATGGTTAGTGCCATTAGCAGTGTTCAGAGTATACTAGTTTCCCAATCATAGTCATGCACTTTTGTAGGCATAACCTACAGGTTTAAAGGAATGAGCATAGCATAGTCAGTGAAATATGGATTGTTATGGGATCTCTTCCAGTGTGTAGGGCATGACAGAAAAATGGTTGATGGAAAACTTTGCAGAAGGATATCAAGGCTGGAATTGTTTGTGGAGCAGCCAAAGGGTGTCATATATAAAAGAGAGAACAGGGATACATCAGGAAGAGCACTGAATCAGGCAATGGTTTCCCATTGTCTCGGTTCAAGTAATCCATTTTTCTCTGTCTAGGCTGCTGATGTGTCTCTAATCTTTGCTTTTAAGCATCACTAAGTATTTTCATCACTTCTGGGTTAAAGAAATCTTGCAAAGTCTTTAGGTTGTCATTCTTTTGGCTGCATGAGGCCTACATGGTGACAGAAATGAGCTACCTCCAGCTGATGTTCCTTCCTAGCCAGGGTCTTAAAGTGTGTCACCTCCTTTCATGATCTGTCTTACAGACATTACACACCATGTTAACCTGGCGGTTAGAAAGATTTGTTGCAGATCTGCCAGATTCCTTTTTACCACTTAACAAAACAATTCTCTCCCACTGCATTACAGGTTAAGGCCACAGTCAGGGTCTTCATTTATCCCATGCCTACAGTAATCTGCATGGAGTACACCCTGGAATCCCATTGACTGTATCAAAAATGTCAGGCGTTGCTACGCTTAAGACTCAATAAGGGCATGAGTTGATTTAAACACATACATCTTTTTCTCTGCCAAAAAAATCAATGCTGTCTCTGGCTGTATTCCTAGTTGTGTTTCAAATGGCTGTTTCCTGGCTCACCTTTCCACCCCCATACATTGCTGAGTACTGTAGCCACACTACACTCTCTCTGCATCAGCCTGGTTGTGTCCTCCTAAATAAAAAAATTTTTTTTTTTTTAATTTTGATCCTTTTTTATTTTTCCCTTTTTCTTTTGTCATCGCTGTACTACAACACACTGTTTCTTTGATGCTGAGTCCCAGCTGATTGAATGCCTTTGTCTTCAGTGCTAAAACTCGGCAGTGTGGCAGCACTGATTCAGGAAGAATGAGATTTGCAATATCCCATTTTTAGCCCAAGAACATGATGGTTTATAGAGAGAGTGTTTTGTCTGCCCACTGGCTTTAGATAATATTTGCATGAACCAAAATTATTATCACCTTACTGTTATGACCATAAGAAGTAAACTGACTTCCTCATATTTAGAATTAACTTTTTCTTGTCATATCCTTTTTCGGGGTCCATAGTCTGTGTTATGGACCCAAATCAGTGTGGTTCTTAAGCATGCAGAATTTCTCATGGGCTTAAAGTTAGAAATATGCTTAAATATTTTACTGAAGAGAGTTCATGTATTTAGGGGCTTTTTTTCTTTTAAAGCAAATTCTTAACACTGTCATAACAAGATAATGATGGGTATGGAGCAGCTGCTATACCAGGAGAGACTAAAATGGCTAGGACTCTTCAGTTTGGAAGGAAGAAGGCTAAGGATATGTTAGAGGTCTATTAAATTAATGAAAGGTGTGGGCAAAATGAGCAGGGAACTATTTTTCACCAAGTCCCAGAACGGTAGAACTAGGAGGCACTGAAATTCGCAGGATTGGAATGGTAATCGGGGAGGGTGCCAAAAGCATCCACTCCTACCATTATCAGAGAGAAGCTACTGGGCTAGATGGACTACTGGTCTAGCACTTATGCTGGGGAAAAATATTGCAATAAATCATAACAGCAGTCAGGTTACAATAAAAAACAAGTAAAAATAAGTATAATTGTCCCTATATTCAAAGGTACCCCTATAATAGCACATCAATATACATGTTATGAAAAGGCAAAGAAAAAAACATTGGAAAGGAGACTACAGTTTTGAGCTTCCAAAGAAAACTTACAAGCCTTATACTTTCAGTGTGTCATTTAAATGGATGAGAGAGCCTATCATTCCTACTGTTAGTTATCTTTCCAGCATCTAACTTCACCTCGTCCCTAAGGAGATGAAAGCCCAAGGGGTCCCAAATTCTTTCCCCAGCTGCTGCAGTGGGAGCAAGGCTGGGGCCAAATGCTGCTTGAAAGGTTTTCTTTTCTTTGTCGAACAAATGTTTTCACACGACGACAGCACATTTTAACAGTGTGGGGGAAACATAACAGTGTCCCTGCCTATTTATCTGTGTCTTTATAAGGTCACCCATCACCATGGTATCTGAGTGGCTTTCTTCTTTCCTTTAAGGATCCAGATCAGGAGTTGGATATAAGGAACAGATAGGACAAAAAACACAAAGAAAAAAGCATGTGAAAAGCAAAAATAATAAGGAGCTGGAGGTGAAACTGTAAACTCAGAGGTAATTTGCCTTGAGGAGCAAGAACCCTTGAGAGCTCTCTGTAGACTTTGGAAGAAAAGACGGAAACTGTGAACAATAGTAAAGGCTAGGGATGTGCTATTCTCTGACAGGTATGTAAACCTTAAGATTAAAATCACAGCTTCAAAAATACTTCCCCTCAGAGTGAGTTTTGCTTAGCTAGCCTGAGTTTTAGGAGAAGTATCACAAAGATAATATTTGTCAGGACTACAAGTAGCAAAGGCAAACCTTCTGTTAAATTTCTGGACATGTCTGTTCTTGAAGCAAATAACTTGACAGCTCAGAACAGTGTAACTTTGATGTAAAAATAATACGATAAACACTAGGTGATCATAACTGAGTTGATTTTTGAAAAAATAACAAAAGACCCATTGTTTATATTTTTGATGGTCTATGGCCCAATGTCCTTTGACGTCTGATTAACCAAAACAAAAATCTAATTGTTAGAAACTAGGCCAGAGAAAAGAAAAAGAAAAAGAAAAAAAAAAAATTTAAATTTCCTTTCCCTTTTTCCTTGGAAATTTCAATGACATTTTTCATCCTAAACTTCTAATTATGAAATATTTCTGCCAGCACTTGTACAGCCCCTGTTCCTCCTTTAAAACACAACGTGGCCCTGGAAGCAATGGGACTGAGAGCTGCTAGCCTACATACTGGGTATGTCTACACATGCACATTTACTGCACAGTAACTGAAATTATTGCACAGTATGGGCGTCTACACATGCACGTCCATACTGTGAAATAAATATGGTGACTTATGGCAACTTGGCATAAATTTCATACCTGCATCATGCAAATTTACGGCTGATTAGCTACTGCACAGTAATGTACATGTAGACACCTTACTGAGCAGTAACCCTGTGTGTGTGGACTAACTTTAGTCCCAAGTTAGTCTACACATAGTGTTAATGCACTTTCACTCCTGCACATTAAGCCAGCCCATTCCCACTTACTGCACAGTAACTTTAAGCTAGCATAAATGTATGTGTAGACACACCCACTGTGTTAGTCTGCCATCCTAGTTTTTCACTCAGGGGCAGAAGATATTGCAGTCTCTGTACCCATTATCAACATCTGGAATGGCCGGTGCAGGAGGTACTGGCTGTGAGGTGTTTTTTGTGGCATGGACCTATTTTGACCAATCAGTATTCTTGGTACCAAACATCAGATTATGGGAAGATGATAGGAGGGAAAGGAGAGCCTCAAACAAAAAAGGGGGTGGGGGGCAATAGCTCTGTTTCTTGACTGAAATGTATGCAACTCTAGCTCCTTCTAGAGGGGAGGCCTAGAGTGACAGGGCACTGGGAGTGGGAAGTTATGTGCATGCTATTCTGACTTATTTTGGCAGTCGTCGATTAAATATGAATGTTTAAGAATATCAGCTATTTGTATGCTAATCACATCCCTTCAACAAACACAAGCCATTAACCAAATTCCTTTTTACATACTGTAGAGAAGTAAAAAATTCCTGACCGCAAAAAGCAGGCATGATGTACATAAAAGGAGTGAAACTACTCAGCCTGCACTCGATGACACCCCTTTAAGCAGCAATTTCCTCATCCCAGAGATCCTCCTTGAGGTTTGCAGATGACCACATCTAATGATGTGGTTTCTTGTCACTAGCAATAGCTTTGTCAAGCAGCAAGATGTGGTGCAATATATTATTTCTTAGTAAGTGAAATTTAACTGACCTAGTTACCCAAGTGCTAATTTGCTGGCCTATATATAATCACCACACCTAAAAGCAAACTAATCTGCAGCAGACCTCAATGAAATCTCACCCTGAAAGGGCCATATTCCTCCTTGTAGATGAGGCTTACATCAGGGATACGGGGTGGGCCGTGCTTTCAGAAGCAGGTTCTAAACTTCAGGATGAATCTATGCAAATTCTAGCATGCACATACAGTTTCAGCTCAGCAAGATACATAAGCCTGGAGACAGCTTTAAGAATGTTGGATGACTCTATTGATTTTTAATGGGGTTACTCACAGGCTTAAACTGAGGCATGGGCTCAAATACCTTCCTCGGTTTGGGGCTTTACTCATTTATGGGACTGTCCGCTTATTACAGGTCACGGGGTCTGCATTCGATATTGCAGGCTCAGTTTTGGTTGCTAGTTTGGAAATTTAGGGCCCAACATGTGAGGCCCTCATTGTTTCCCCTTTAACCCTTTTCCCAGCCTAAAAAAAACCTGTAAAAATATTGGGACAAGTAGTACAGAAGAGTTCCTCAAATAGGAGCTGACAATACATGTATCCCCTATTTTTAATCTCTTTACTTCTGTTTCAGGTGTTTCCCCTTTCTTTACAACTCACTTCCACTGCAGATCATACCAGTCACCTCAGTTGTGTGTATCATGTCCAAATAAGTATTCAGAATATTTCTTCAAGCCTATTAATTATGGAATACCATCAGCAAATCATAAAAAATAGAGATGGAAAAGTTCTTTTATATTACATCATCTCCTACTTCCCCTTGCCAAGTCAGGATTTTTGCCCTCTATAGAATATTTGCAAGTGCTTTGTCCAGTCTAGTTTTAAGTAGATTAAATATGGTACTTTTTCACCAGCCTGTCAGAAACTGTCAGAGAGGATCCAAAATAATTGACACAAGCACCTTCTAAAGGTTCATTGTGGACCTTAGCCACTTGTCATTTGGATCTAAATGTAGGGCTTTCCTCATGAGCAGTGAGTATTATTGTGCAGACTTAACTCTCTCCCAGTATAGTCATCCAGATTGCCTGCAACAAACAACCTCCTCCACTATGACCAAGGATAAACAAATGGAATAAAATATTTTTGAAGACAGGTGAACCAAGTCCTACGGTGGCCAGTGGCTGACCTCCTAGGATGAAGGTCTTCAGACTATTGCTGATGAAACCTGGGATGCTGTATTTGTTTATTTACATTGTTCAGTAATAGCACTGGACTCTGAAAATATACATTGCTTCTTCGAAAACTATTGCATATCTGCAATTGCATACTCAAGCACATTTATAGGAACACAAATTTATGCAATGGGTGGGCCATTAAGCATTGGCCTGACACTGCTTTCAGTGGAGCTGGGAGCACAGTTAAGCCAACAGTTGAGTGCTTTCAAAACTGCCATCCATGTGATACTGACATCATCAAAGAGTATTATTTACAATTGCTATCAAAGGATCCAAAAGTGCTTCAGCTATTCACTATCTGCACTTGTATCACTTCAATCAATACTAAGGTACAGCCACTTCTGGGGTGAAACCTGACCACAGTGAAATAGTGTATAGCAGCATGAAACATTTTGGGCTGGGAAGTAAAGAATTAATACAGGTAAAACTCCTACATAAACTTCTTGGATATAATGTCTCAAAATAAGTTTATTTTAATAGCTTTTGGAATAGACAGAAAAGAAAGGGTATGAACAAATATCTTGGTATAGTCTTCTCATTTTTTTTTTAATTTTCACCAGAAACCCGATTTCTAACCCAACCAACTTTAGACTGTATGCCTCTGAACCTCTGAATACAATTCAGATCACTATCAGTGTTCATTTATACAGCATTAAAGATAGGGCAATTCAGTCCCTGGGTGCAGCCTTTTTACTTACTACTTTTACCGAACTCTTACAGAAGGTTCCTCAGGCAGAGATTATTCACAGCACTCTAACTGGATGCCATTACTGCCTCTGAGTTCACAAATCCCAAACTGAGATTACTTCATGTAGCACAGTGTTCCTTGGACATTTAGCACCACATTAAAATGTCATTTTAAGCAATTAATATTTTATTTATAAATACTTAAAATATTTATTATAAATGAGTATTTAAACAGCAGCTC